CACGTGTCAAACGAGGTTGGGCAAGCCAAACGGAAGAAGCTGACTCGCCCCCCCGCCCCCAAAAAAAGAAAGTAGACAACAACAACACCCAACTCCAAAGCTGACTCGCCCCCGCCCTCCAAAAAAAGAAAGTAGACAACAACAACACCCAACTCCAAAGCTGACTCACCCCCGCCCCCCAAAAAAAGAAAGTAGACAACAACAACACCCAACTCCAAAGCTGACTCGCCCCCATTCCCCTTCGCCCCCCGGAAGCTGACTCGCCTCCATTCCCCGCAGAAGACAACACACACCCCGGAAGCTGACTCGCCTCCATTCCCCGCAGAAGACAACACACACCCCGGAAGCTGACTCGCCTCCATTCCCCGCAGAAGACAACACACACCCCGGACACCAAGCAAAAACGGTTCCCCGCAGAAGAACACCACACAACACCCGAAGCTGACTCGCCCCCCGCCCCCCCCCCCCCAAAAAAAAAAAAGAAAGCAACAACAAACAGCAACACAGTTTCACACCCAAAGCTCCCAAAGCTGACTCGCCCCCCTTCCCCCTTCACAGCCCGGAAGCTGACTGGCCCCCGCCCCCCCCCCCCTTCCCCCTTCACAGCCCGGAAGCTGACTGGCCCCCCGCCCCCCCCAAAAAAAAAGCAGACAACAACAACACCCAACTCCAAAGCTGACTCGCCCCCCTTCCCCCTTCACAGCCCGGAAGCTGACTGGCCCCCCGCCCCCCCAAAAAAAAAGCAGACAACAACAACACCCAACTCCAAAGCTGACTCGCCCACCTTCCCCCTTCGCCCCCCTGGAAGCTGACTCGCCTCCATTCCCCGCAGAAGAAACAACAACACACACAACTCCAAAGCTGACTCACATCATTCCCCCTTCACAGCCCGGAAGCTGACTGGCCCCCCGCCCCCCCCAAAAAAAGAAAGCAGACAACAACAACACCCAACTCCAAAGCTGACTCGCCCACCTTCCCCCTTCGCCCCCCTGGAAGCTGACTCGCCTCCATTCCCCGCAGAAGAAGACAACAACAACACCCACCCCGGAAGCTGACTCGCCCCCCCGCCCCCCCAAAAAAAGAAAGCAGACAACAACAACACCCAACTCCAAAGCTGACTCGCCCCCTTCCCCCTTCGCAGCCCCGGAAGCTGACTCGCCTCCATTCCCCGCAGAAGAAGACAACAACATCACACCCAACTCCAAAGCTGACTCTCCTTCTTGGCAGAGCCCGCTTCCTGGCAGAGCCCGCTTCCTGGCAGAGCCCGCTTCCTGACAAATTCCTGCGACAAACAAAATTCCCTTCCTGACAAAATTCCCTGACCCCTTCCTGACAAAATTCCCCTTCCTGCCTGACAAAATTCCTGCCTGACAAAATTCCTGCCTGACAAAATCCCTTCCTTGACAAAATCCCTTCCTGACAGAGCACACTTCCTGACAAAATCCCTTCCTGACATGTGTCAAACGAGGTTGGGCAAGCCAAACGGAAGAAGCTGACTCGCCCCCCCGCCCCCGAAAAAAGAAAGTAGACAACAACAACAACAGTTTCACACCCAACTCCAAAGCTGACTCACCCCCATTCCCCTTCGCCCCCCCGGAAGCTGACTCGCCCCTCGCCCCCCAAAAAAAGAAAGTAGACAACAACAACACCCAACTCCAAAGCTGACTCGCCCCCATCCCCCTTCGCACCCCCGGAAGCTGACTCGCCTCCATTCCCCGCAGAAGACAACTCACCCAACCCGGAAGCTGACTCGCCTCAATTCCCCGCAGAAGACATCACACACAACTCCAAAGCTGACTCGCCCCCACTCCCTTCCTGGCAGAGCACGCGTCTTTGCAGAGCCGCTTTCCTGACCGAGCACTGGCACTGCCCCGTCATACAAAAAAACCGACGTTCTCAGCCGCGCGTTCTGAGGCTCAAACTTTAAAAGGCTGTGACAGAAAGCGAGCAACGCAAGCCGACCTTCACTTCGCCATGGCGAAACAATACACGTCGCCTCTCTTGCGCAGACTCACGAATTTGCGAACCGAAGTGGCCACCGGTCGGACGCGCCGCAACTACGGTGTCGGGCGCGAGCTCACGGGCAAGGAGCTTTCTCGGAGGAAGACGGAAATCGCGAGGCTGGAACGGTGGACTGGGCGGGCGAAAAAAACGTCTGTTCGGCGTACGCCTGCCCGGCACTGCGCCTGCTCGGCACTCCTAGCCTTCCTACACGCCTGCTTGGAGACTCCCCCGCCAGCTTCTTCGCCACGAGGATAAAAAAACTTTGGGGATTGGGGGGTACATGCCAAGCACAATCAAGCAAAACCATGTCATGCCAAAATCATGCAAAAATCGTGTCATGCCATGCAAAAATCGTGCAAAACGAGCTATTCCTCCGGTCCGTACATTATGTACAAACTAGAGGAATAGCATTTTGTAGCGCAAAACCGTGAAAAAAAAGCTCCCGGCCATACGCGCACGTATGGCCGGGGAGAATGCGCGCGGCCGAGCCAAAAAAACTGGACCCGTAAAAAAAGAATGGCAAGTTGGGCGAGACAACGACAGCAGATTACGGAGGCCGCGGACGGCGGCGCCCGGGCTCACACGGGGGCGGATGGAGCGTGCTGAACTTGCGGCGCACCGGGGCCTACGCGCTGCTCTCGCGCGCGGACGGGCAGCTGACCCGGGCGGGCCAGCACTATTATCTTACCTGGGCCTGCGGCCTCCCAGCAGGGACTTCGACTACAACCAGCCCCTCATCCGCAAGGGACCCAACGACAACATCCTGCTGCGCAAGGGCAGAAGAAGCTCGTGCGCTCCCTGCAGGGCGGAGAGCACCGGCTGACCAGGAAGACCCGGGCGGTCCATCCTGCAGCTCTCGGACAAGACCTACTTCCTTGACCCGAGGGACACTGGCTGGTCAGCGCGAGCACGAGGGGAGACACTCCTGCGCCAGCGCATAAGGGACCTGAGCGTGAGCTTCCAGCAGAGCGCCTTTGAGGACAACCGCTCTGCGTGCCCCGCAGCTGGCCGAGCTGCTGCAGCTGAACGTGGAGGAGGTGTGCGCCGACTTTGACGCCATGCTGCGCCACGACTGGAGACGCCTTGGCATCTTCCGAGAGGCGAGAGTTCTGCGTGTGGCGCAACGCACCAATGCGCGTGCTGAGCTCGCAGGGCAACCTCGTGGACAGCTACGACCCGGCACTGAAGGAGCACCGTACCGTGTGCTTCTTGGCCTTGACGGGCACTGCTACATGGTGCTGGAGAGGCAGGCGTGCGAGAGCCCCCAAGGTGGCCATCAGCAGCCCGGCGCAGTATGCGGACACCAGGATCCGAGAGCTGCCGGAGGGTACGTGCTGCGGAGGTGGTGCGAGGCGCGGGGCAGGAGTACAGTAGTAAGGAAAGACTGCTTATACTACCCTATTAATTTTCGGATTTTGGTCCCAAAACGCTCCAAAACAGCCAAATTTCCAACCCGCTGAACTTGTCACCAGCGATGTCACCGCTTCGTCACCGCTCCGTTTTTGGAGCAAAAAGCGCTGAAAACGGCGAACTCCGAAAAGTGCGTTTTTCGTGTCCGGCGTCAAATGTGCTGCCTGGGCCTCCAATTTCCGCCGAAAACCGGCTCCAGGCGTTTGATGTGCTCCGAATTCCGTTTTCTGCCCCGAAAAGCCTGCGAATTCCAGCGCTGAGAGTACTCTGAGCTTGTCACCGCCGATGTCACCGGTCTCTAACACGTCAGCCTGCCGAGGTACACCACGGTGTCTAACACGACAGCCTGCCGAGGTTCTCCCACATAACACGTCAGCCTGCCGAGGTTCTCCCACATGACACGGCAGCCCGCTGAACTTGTCACCGCCGATGTCACCGGTCTCTAACACGTCAGCCAAGCCAAGTGACTTGCCAGCCGAACCTTATCTGACTTGAGACTTGTCAGTTGTACTCGAGCCTCATCAGTTGTACTCGAGACTCATCAGTTGTACTCGAAAGATTAACACCCTCCATCTGGAGTTTAAGTGTGTGTTTGTGTGTCGGACACCCGACCAGTTCCTTCCTTCTCGCGTGGGTCTTGGCGCGTTTCGGTTCTGATCTTTTGCTTGTGGATTCCTCCAGTTCCCTCCTGGCGCGTTTCAGGCCGGAGTGAATTCTTTCAATTTAAGGCTGAGCAAAATCAGAACTCCACCGGGGGTGGCGCTCACTCGGTTTGTTTTGGTCTAGCAATCTCCAATGCATGTTCTGAAAATGCTCGGGAAAACTACTTTGCAGCCGCACATTTTTGCTAAGCCAAATTCCGCGCAATCTTCTCCAATACATCGGATGTGGGCGCAACGCCCGCGCCATCGCGGGACGTGAGTCAGGCTGTTTGGCGCACGGAGTCTCCCCTCCACGGCAAAAACCGTGCTTGTAGGATCCCGGGACAGGTACAAGCAGAAACGACCTCCGAGTCAGTGTGGCGTGGGTCGCTGCTAGGGAACTGAAAAAATATCCTGCAAAATCATGTCTGGGAGATGTGTTGAATTTCAGGAAGACCTAGTACTTCTAGTCCAGAAAGGGATGATTTGCACCTGAACGTTTTTTGTTTTTGTTTTTTGTTTAATCGTCGCCCTAACCATGAGGCGCCCCCAGGTAAGGATCAGAATTGTCACAGGGGACCTTGTACCCCCAGGACTATAGCTCTTTGGTCAGAGGGATCCAGTGGGCTGGACGGTGACATGAAGGATCTAGGGAGGGTTCATCCCCAGCAGAGCCTTATTCTCGAACGACCCAGAGCCCTCGCCTCACCTACCTTCACTGCGTTGAAGTTTCTGCGGGTTCTTCTGATTGACCCGTGTAGTCAGCCTTTGCGATACCACCAGCATCCTGCAACTGGGTAGTTTCCTTAATCGACCCGGGGACCGTGAGAACTCCAAAAAGTCCGGCAATAACCCATGTAGCATACCGTTGAGACCTGCAGTCCCACGTGTTGTCTGAGGTGACATCTTCTGCTAAGGGCAGAGCGACGAGGCGAAGCTTCAAAGTTGTAACAGTCAATGATGCTGCCGCAGTCTTGTCGTACAGCAGGGGAAACTGGACCTATTTGCTTGTTGGCTCCTGCAACATTACTATGTTCAAGTCACCTGAAAGAACCGCCATCGCAGCGCCCCAGTGACTGCATACAGAACTGTCAGGTCTCACTTGACATGACCGCAACAATGTGCCTAGCTTTCACCTTGGCGTTGGCCGTTCGCACCACTGCAGCCTGTGTGGCAAGTGCGACACATTTATGTATGAAGGTGAGAATCCACTCTTACGAGACTGGATACTACCAGTTTGAAGGGTACAATGGCGACTCGCCCGACCTCGAGGTCCGCATCGGCCAGACCTACGTCTTCGACCAAACGGATAGCAGCAACTGGTACCACGCGGTGGGCTTCGCCTACTACCCGGATGGTGCTCACGGTGCCGACTGGGGTGGAGATGAGCGTGATGAGGTAGAGGGTGCAGGCGAGCTGCTGTACAAAATCGACGGTGCAGCGACGACTTGTCCTGATGCAGGCAACACGGGGCTGGACTGCTACGAGCCCGAGTTCTTCTACCCGCGAGCAGATTGGATGGCAAAGAATTACACCGCCGAGCTCACCATTACGCAGGCCATGGCGGATCGATCGCAAGGCGGTGTGATCTACTACTTCTGCCACATCCACTCCAAGATGAGCGGCAAGATCGTCATCAAGAACGCCGATGGCTCCGCGGTGACTCAGGCAGACGGCCAGCCGCTGGTGAACGCCCAAGAGCTTCCGCTGTACTCCCCGGTTCAAGGTGCTGGCTTCGACGTCATATGCGGAACTTCGGGTGCTAGCGACTATGCCCCCGGTGGCTCCATGGCCTGCCCGGAGAATTTTCTTGGAGGCACCTTAGATACCGATTTCGAGAAGTGCATGCAGGCGATTGACTGCAAGATGAACAAGGAGATGCGCATCATGGGCTTTGACAGCCACCAAAGTCACATTGTCACATTCATGCAGCAGATGATCCCGCACCACGCCAACGCAGTAAACATGGCAAAGATTGTGCTCAAGTTTGCGTCACCCCAGGTTGTAGCTGTGGAGGATTTGAGCGACATCTTGTGGAGCATGATCAATGCGCAGAACTATCAGATCCACGTCATGCGAAACTACCTGGGAAGCCACACTGCGTATGGGCAGGTTGTGACAAGTGGTGGCAGCTCGTTGAGTGCTGAGTCTGTGGGTGAACACTGCAACTCCACCCTGGATGTTGCTGTGGACATCCAGGCGCCAACGTCGAACGCGGCCAGCGCGACAGCTGCAGTTCCAGGTTGCAGCTCGTCGGCGAATAGGCTTTGCATGAAGGTGAACCTCTATGCTGGCGAGACCGGGTACTTCGAGTTTGCTGGGTACACAGGCCCCTCGCCCGACCTCGAGGTCCGCATCGGCCAGACCTATGTCTTCGACCAAACGGATGGCAGCAACTGGTACCACGCGGTGGGCTTCGCCTACTACCCGGATGGTGCTCACGGTGCCGACTGGGGTGGAGATGAGCGTGATGAGGTAGAGGGTGCAGGCGAGCTGCTGTACAAAATCGACGGTGCAGCGACGACTTGTCCTGATGCAGGCAACACGGGGCTGGACTGCTACGAGCCCGAGTTCTTCTACCCGCGAGCAGATTGGATGGCAAAGAATTACACCGCCGAGCTCACCATTACGCAGGCCATGGCGGATCGATCGCAAGGCGGTGTGATCTACTACTTCTGCCACATCCACTCCAAGATGAGCGGCAAGATCGTCATCAAGAACGCCGATGGCTCCGCGGTGACTCAGGCAGACGGCCAGCCGCTGGTGAACGCCCAAGAGCTTCCGCTGTACTCGCCAGCAACTCTGAGTGGTACCGATCTGGCGTGCGGTACTGCAGGTGTGGGTCCCTTTGCCGGAGGAGGTGAGCGCCAGTGTGCCGAGCGCTTCCTTTGCGGGAACCTGGACACAACATTTGAGCGTTGCATGCAGGCCATCGACTGCAAGATGAAGGCGGAGATGTTGGATGAGACGTCTGTGGACCACGGAAACCAGGTCGCGGTTTTCATGCAGCAAATGATTCCGCACCACCTCAATGCCGTGAACATGGCCAAGATCCTGCTCAAACACGTCGATGCGGCAACCATTGATGCGGCCATTGAGGAGCAGGGCCTTACTCACATGCTCCCGGGTCTAACTTAGGAAGACTTTCGAATCTCTACGTAAGATGAACCCTACTTGGGTATGGGTCAAAATTAAACCACCAGGGGACCGCAGGTTTTGGCCATGTTTCCACTTACTAGGGTTCCATTTGGGGTAGAGTACCTTTTTTTGTAACCACGGAAGTGACGATTTCCCCAACTGTTCTGAAGGCTCAACGACATCATCAACGTCCAGAACTTTCAGGTGCACCAGTTCCGCAACTATTTGGCTGGCCAAGGCTTGCTGCCAGGAGTTGCAACGACAGCCGTCCCGGAGCTGTACACAAGTGGGCACCAAAGGTGCCGGGGGCTTCTGTCATTTGTGGTCGGCTTCCTATTCTTAGGTTCATCTTGAGATGGCTGTGGCTCAAAAATAGCCACCCATTTTGGGCAGCCTGGTAAATGCAACCAAGACTGAGACCTGCGGTCAACCGAGTCTATATCCTGGTTGAATTTGGACCAGATGGCTGTGCCTGTGCCCCATAGGCAGCGATTTTGATCTCTTCTTTTTTTTTGGGACTGCGCTTGTAAAAGGATGCGGCTTTGTACCGGGCATGTGCGAGCCAGGCTTGAGGCTTGACGAGTTGTTAACTTGCTTTACGTGCAGGGCCGATCAGCGAATCCCATCATGTAACAGACCCAAGAAGGAATTATGTAACCTTGGGCATGGTGTATAGCAGAATTGTAATTCATCCATCGGCGAAGCCGAGCAATGGGCTGACGTCAAAGCCTTTGACTGAGCTGGAAAATGGGGTGCAGTCATGCAAGATGCATCTTTGGCCATCCGCTGCAAGATGATACTGTGGATGGACGCAATCTTGCACCACCTAAGAAACCCAGCAAGGATGATTACCCTGTAAGTACCAGCAAACAATGGTTCCTGGATTCAGGTGCGAAATGGATTTCGTCCATCCACAGTGGTCTCAAGACCGTGCAAGATGACGTTTGCTGACCTTTGCGCCGATACCGCAAGTTTCTATTTTTCCCGGCGGATCTGTGGAGGTCGGGAGCTGACCTTTTGGAAACCCAGTGACCCGGCAGGCGACTTCCTGCAGCACTCCGTGTCCGAGGGCAGAGGGCCAGGCGCTTGGATTCGTGGTACCAGCCTTGGGGGTAGCAAGACTCCAGTGGAGTATATAGCCCCGAAGCCACCTCTAACTTGGGTCCTCTACGCAGTAAGGTCCCTAAAAGGGGATTATGGTCGGGTTGTATTGGGGCCCGATGATGTGCTTAAGGGGCCATTACTGGGTGGGGAACTTAGGGGAACAGGAAGGCCGCTTCGACTCCGGCGCCTTGCATGCCACACAGCAGCATTGCCTTCACTCCAAAATCCGGCGTCGACATGTATTAGCCGATGCAAGCTTTGAGGCATCATGGGTCCCCGGCCAATACGGGGGTACCGGGGGGGGGGGGCGGAGGGGGGGGGGGTAGGGGGGTAGAGAGTTTTCTTTTTGGGTGAGGTTCAGGGGTTAGTGGGGGTTTAGGGAGTTTTTTTGTTTTTTTGTTTTTGTGTGGTTAGGGGGGGGTTTAGGGAGGGGTTTAAGTGAATTGAAGGAGTTTCGGTTTTGTCCGCTGTGTTCCGCCGGTGAGCTGCGCATGGGCCAAAGTCAGAAGCCAAATTTGTGGCGATACGGGTGGGTTTCCCTTACGGTTTCCCTGCAGGGTTCCTTCCCTTAAGTTTTTTTGGTTCCTTGGGATGCTTATGACGTATTCCTTCCCTTAAGTTCGTATTTCTCGTAAAGTTGCCACGAGAGGTTGTCTTGTTATCATTGTCTACTTCGTTGTAGCAGAGCTGCCTCAAGCGATAGCTCGTACAGCTTAAGAACACAGGCCAAGACCAGACCAAACCTGAAAAGGAACATGACTCTTGTGTACACATTATTTCAACCCGGCTCTTGTGGTTTGCTTGGGATGCTTATGACGTATCCATATCTGTCATAGAACTCTTTTGCCCTGCCTACTTGTGTAACTTGAGGGACCTCACGTAGTACGCGCACATCTTAATACCCCTGTCTTGTTGGACCGAGGTCGGCAAGCAAAGACTCAGTGAGATGGGGGACGGGCAGCTGCGCTCACAGGTGAAGCCTTTCAGGCCGAGTGGAGTCGCGCATAGTGGGTTGCTGTTAGCGAGTCTAAGCCCACGATTACTCTTACATACTGTTATAGTCATCCTCATGTTTTCTGGGGCCTAATCACCCTTTCCCTCACCCCCTCTGTGGCATCGACTTGGTGCCGAAGCCGGGTGTTTCAGAAGCTTTGCTGGGGTCCACGGAAACCGGCGTGGTGGGGCGCTCCCGGCTGAAGCCTGGAGAAGAACTGCGCCGCACGCATCGGCTTGTCGGACAACGACATGGCCGTGGGTCAACACCAATGGGATCCCATTTTGGTTGGTAGGTGCACCACCCATTTTCGGCTTTATTTTAGTGGTTGGATTGGGATGTTCACTAAAATTATGGGGTTTTGACCCATGGCCACATCGAGAAAGGTCAGGCCCGGTGCTGGCTTTGCCAGGGTCGGTTCAGCACCAACACGCTGGAGCAAATTGAGAGTAGCGAGAAGCAGAGCGGTCGCCGAGGCTGGCGACGTTGGATTTGCAGCTTTCACCTGGAACTTGGAAGTGTATTTCGTTTGCGTTCCCAGCTCAGGGGGAAAACGCGGCAACCAGCGGTGGGGAAGGTGTTTCTAGAAGAGTCGACCTTGAATTTGGGGAGTCCCAGCATCCTCATTCAAATCTGTTAGATGCTTGAAGTGGGCGCAAGGTGTGGCCGTATCACATCCGGCCCAAGTTCCATCGATCGAGACCGGCTCTCAGCCTGGCATCGGCATCGGCACGCGAAGCCCCCTGGCCATTCCTTGGCCACGAGGTGCGTGACGCGAAAGTTTCACCCTGGTCCCTTCCGACTTCCGGCCCATGCCCGTGAGTGGAGTTTTCCTGCCCTCATTCAGCCGGAAAATGTGCAAAGAAGGGCAGCGCCAAGACGCAAGAGAATTGGCTGGCAAGCGCGAGAAGGAGGGTTCGCTGGTGTCATGGAAGATGCGTGAGTCGGCCAGTGTGAGGTGTGGAGACGAGACCCATAGAAAAAGCAGACTTGTTTGTGCTAAAACGTTCTAAATAAGTTTTAGCCATGCCAAACGAAAAGCAGGAAATGATCTACAACATTATAATGTCTAAAACATGTCCAAAAAGCCGTGGCTTATAGTTCCTTACCCTTTTTGGTGATTCGGCCGAGTCTTGTTGGGTTCCACATTGCGCCTCGCAGCGTTTAGTCCAAGCAGCTGGCAAGTGCACGCGCAGTCAGAGTCAGCGCACACTTTCTTGCAGCCCCGGCTGGCACACCCGATTGTTTGCACGGACGGAGCTGGCCAGAAACCAACAGTGCAAAAAGAAGACACACAAACACGCACACACACACACACAAAGTAAATGTCCCTCAAAAATCCATTCCCTAGCATGGCTTCGCCGAATTCGTAGGAATCCATGGCGTTTTGTCTAGGCCGACACCTGCATTGAGCTGCGAGTTGCTGGTGTTTAGGCCATTGCTAGGCTATCACAGGGATATCCAGAATCATTTCCCATTGAATATCGCAACAGGATCCCCCCTGTTTGATGAGACCTGTTTACATCCAGCCCCTGCCATTTGCTACACATGCAGCAACTCCCCCGAAAGTGAAAGGTTCTCGGAGCTCCCCATATATGAACAGGGGATTTGAATCCGGGTTCACATCACACCTGCCCTTCTCCCATACATCACGTCTGCAAGCCAAAGTTTCATTGATCTGTCTGGCGATGGCTTTCTGAAATCCTGAATCCTTCCCTCGCAAAAGGGCCCTTTTCTCCTTTGTGACTTCCCTGCACACCTCCATATCGCACCGCCAAAACGAGGGATCGGTCCGTCCGGCTGCTTGTAGCTGAAATGGTCTCTCATGCCTTTGTCCGATTGATGAAGGTTAGGTTCGCTTTGCCAGTCATACTGTGGATGGACGAAATCCTGCACCACCTAGGAAGCCTGGAATGATGTTTCCCCTGTAAATACCACCAAACAATGGTTTCCCATGGTTCCATAGTGGTGCAGGTAGGTACGGCGAAACAAGAAGGCAGCCGTTTGATTCTTTACCACGGGTTTTGGGTGGACCCCCTGAAAAAAACAGGTGTTTATTCAGACTCATTTGTTGCCTATGTTGAGACACACCCACGTACAGTGTGTACATTAATCTCCTTTGGGGGACCCACCTTGAATGAAGTTCGGTCAAACTGTCCAGTGGCCTATGGTCCATTTGGGTATATGGGGGACTCACAAAAAAGCACACAACAGCCAGGGGGCTCATGAATTTTCCCCAAAAGGGAAGCAAGAAATGGGTGTGCCTTTTTTGAGGGTGGGCTTATTTTTGCAGGACACCAATTAGAACGCCGCTATTTTGAGGGGGTCTCAGATTTTAAGACACCAGATTGACCATGGTTTAAGCCATCGCCAGGTCCCTTCTGCGGGAAGTTCCGGGATGAGCTGGGCGGGGAGTCCGACAGTGAGGAGGAGGCGGGCCGGGCGGTTCGGCTCGCCGCGCGGCTCGGCTTGCGACGGTTCGGTCTGGAGGTCTGGAGGTCTGGAGGTCGCGCTTTGGCGCGGGTACTGCGTCAAAAGCAAAGTCCAATAACAAATCAGAGAAAAAATCCCAAAATTAATGCGCACCCAAGTAGATGTGGCCATGGGTCAATAGGTACCCTGCCTCCCACGTTGCCATGGCAAAAAACCGAGGGTCCCTTCAAGAGGAAATTCATCTACCAGGTACCTCCCCATAGGTGCCATGTTAGTGGGAGGCCGGTAAAGAGACACCTCGAAATGGTCCCTTTCAACAAAACCCATGCCCAAAGGAATTGACAAAGGCTAAGCTGTGGCCTCGAGTAAAAATGGGACCAAACAGGTCCAGGCTAGCTTTTGACAACTGAGCCTGGTTACCCATTTCAACGTGGAGGTCGTCAAGCATTGGCCAAGCATCTCACAGCTTGCATCCCCTTGTTCAACATGAGTGTCTTTTCTTGGGCAACCCCTTTCTGGTGCTTTTAAAAGGGAAGTCAACAAATTAGACCACTGCTTAAGCTTTAAGGCTGTGGCCCTTTTCTCGGGCCGAAGGGGGGGCTTGCGTTGCAAGTTCTGCCACCAACCGCAGTTGAGCCTGGTACGTTAAAGCGGCCCACCCGAAACCATGGCAGCCAGTGGCGCCCGAAATGGGGGGGGGGTTCTCGTCCTTTCGGAGCTACCCCTGGTTTTGGTGGGTTGTAAGGGTAAACTGAAAGGAAAGCCCAGCATTTTGGGCGGTCCCCTAAACTAAATGCCACACCCAAATGTTTTTCCCGAGAGCCTTTGGAACATCGGCGATTTCAAACGAGTAATTACAAACCAGCAACACTCGACTTTTTACGGGTCGAAGACCAGCCCAAGTATCTAAGAGGATGCCCTTTGCCCTGTTACACATGTTGGCAGTTTGGTTCGCAGGCCTGCTTTGAGACGTGGAAGTGAAGGCATTCGCAGCACAGCCCGATTGCCATTTGTGGATCCCCTATTTGTGCCATAGTATTGCAAGAAACGGCATTCCTCTTCTGCCCTCTGAAAAAAATAAAAAAAATAAAACACATTTGGGCTGAACTTCAAAGAGATCTCCTCCCTTTCTCTCCCTCGGGTTTTTGCCTTTGGGGAAACCAGGGGCGAGGTTGAGAGAGAGCTCGGAGCAGGGCTCGGAAACCATCTGAGCCCTGGCCATGGAAGGGGACGCGAGTGAAAACGCACCGCGCCACCCGCTTTTTGGTCAGCCGATCTTCGGTTTCAGGGCGGCGACATGGGTTCCAGGATTCGTTTTTGTTTTTGTTTTTTCTCTTTCCGGCTGAATCGCGCCCCGGTTTTGTTCTTCTTCTTTTTTTACCTTGAGGTCTTTGGTTGACCAGTCCTTCCCATTGGCGACCGCTTCGGCCCAATCGCCAGGATGATGGGACCAGTATGCGGGCCAAGAACAAGAAGAAGGTCAAGAGGCTTTCGCGCATAAAAGGGCCGTAAGGAGCTGTTTTGGTGCTCTCAAGAGCAAACCCGCTCGGCCCCATGCTTTGCCTTGCTTTTGGGATGGGTTAAAGAGAATAAGCAGAGGTTTACCAGTCATCTTGAGGGCTTTCCCTTGGGGTACGAATTAAAGGAGATTGCCATAGGTAAACAGAAGGTGCAACCCTTCAGCTTTCGAGCTGCGTCCAAAATACGCCTTCAGCAACCCTGATGGACGTGGGAGACATGTCCCATTGTTTTTGTTTGTGCTTGACATTTAGTGGTGCGTCGCCGATGTCCCAAAGCCTCAATCGACCATAGACAAATCAGGCTATCTCAGCCTAACCTGAATTTCTGTCTGAAAGCAAAGCGCTTTCGATAATACATGCGGAGGTCAAATAAAGATGCAACCTGGGGTCGACAACCGCAGAGTCCCCGAATGAACAAAACGAGGAGGGGCTTGACTAGGCCTCTTATCCTTGTGCATGGGCTGTGAAGGCATTGTCAGATTGCTTTTTTTTCCCTTCTTCTTCTTCTTCGTCTTCTTCTTTGACTAGCCGTCTCCAGCCACGGAACAATACTTCTCTGGAATGTCATGTTGAGCTGTCACCTCAATCACATGTGTGAAACGTTTAGGCATCTCAATCCCTCCGTTTGCTTGGATGGGGAGGTCGCTGGGTTGGGTTTTCTCTTCCAACAAGGGGTCTGGAGCGCAATTGTGGGCCCCCAACCTAAAGGGGCAGCAAACGCACCTGGCCTCTTCCAAATCCAAGCGACTTTGTGGGCGGAATCAAGGCCCAACCTGCCATGTACGGTTCGACTCGAGTAGGGGTTGCTCTTTTGACACCCAGAATCAGGGTCTCTATACTTCCTTCGGCATGGTTTCAACATGGGCCAATGCTAAGCGGTAATTCTCCCAAAAGGCGATTCATCTCCAAACGCTTTTTTTTGGTTTGGTTTCCATGTCAATCTGCAGGGAAGTTTATAGGGAATCCCTGGTTCTGACACTTGTTTCGGGATTTCACTTCCTCGTTTCTCGGTTTTGGGCACTCTTTGCAAGAAATCGCCCCTCCCACGGGTCCCAAAGCAGTAAAAAGCACCTCAACGTCCCACACCCTAAACGAGGCGTCGAGGTCTCCGGTGTTTTTTCTGTGCGGCAGGAAGCGGCCGAAGAAGTCGGAGCGGAATGTGGCATCCACCAACATGATGTGGGCCAAACGCTCGGCGCGGGGAGTTTTTTTTTTTTTCTTCTTTTTTTCGCAGGGGCAGGGGGGAGAAGCCCAACTCCGCCCAAATGGGAGCTTTTTTTCCCTTCAAGTTCCGCAAACCGCGAGAATGGGCGGGCGCGCCCGTAAGACATGAGGCTGGATGGTTCCCTCCGTTCGCCTCTGGAGAAAACCGGATGGTAGCCTCAGCAGAGGGTCCTCAAGGCGGTGCTTGAGGCGTCCACTTACCGGCAACCCAGGAGCCAAAGCGTCGTCCACCCATGAGACAAAAAAAGGGGTCCGGGAAGCAAGGATCCTCCGCTCAAAAGGGGGAGCTCCCGGCGCGGCGATCAATTTTTTGAAGGCTCATTGAAAGGCAACATTTTGAAGGCAACATTTTTTGATTTTTTTTTTTGACTTTTTTGAGGTGAGAGCCAATTTCTCATCCCAGGATCGCCTCGATCTCTTGAAGAGCCTGAGAGTTCTATGCCATTCGCGGTGCGTGAGGTGTAATTACTTGTCAAGCGTGGTTGGAATTGTTTCTTCTTTTGAAGGAGTTCTTGTGTGAGGGAATTCTTCAGTAAATACCGAGCAACTGTTGCCTGGATGGGGGAGGCCAAGAATCCCTTGAAGGAGATTCCTCTGCAGAATGCTTTGGTGGATACGGAGTGAAGGCTCCCTGGACGGAGCAATCCCTTGCCGTGTGTCCCCTTCGGGAAACTCCCGAGATTTGTCTTGGACAAATGCGAGAGAATGTTGGGCACAATTTTAAGTGTGCGTTAAGCAGGGATTTGGACCCCAAAATAGCATGATAGCATTTGTGTTCCTTTGTTTTCCCCTAAAGCCAACCTCAAAAGAGTCCCTTTTCCAAGCACCTCAGGGGAAGACCAGGTCTATTACCATAACCTGATCAAAACAAGTTGAGAGTCCGATTGCTGTCGGAATGGCTTGGCAAGTCTTGTAAATGGCGGAACAAAACAGCCAAGGGTAACTGAGGCAAAATCAACCAGCTTGAGTCACAATGAAACCCCTCGTATTTGGAGGGTAGTAAGGGAAAATCCCAGCCAGAACAGCTGCGCCCGCTTTTGCACTTCCTTGCATGGTTCTGGGTAGACCTTTAATACCAGGTTTTCATTGGCTTGCGGCATCGCTTTCCACATCTTCCGTCTCTTTTTCGGTGCCCAAAACGGCCTTTTCGGCGTTTCTGAGGCGCCATACCTCAGTGAGAGCCGGATCTTGGTGAAGGGGCGAAACGGCGCCAGAGGCTGAGCAACCTTTTAGGGTGTGGCTCAAAATTCAAGAGCTAGGGCTACGAGCGTTTTAACTTCTGGTTCCATCTTCCCCAGGTACTTTGGTACATTTATTTGAGCCACAGCCGTTTGGTCACCTTGGAGGTTCATCTCAGGTTTGTAAGTAGGTTCAGAGCCTTCTCACACCCTTCGACCTAAAAAATAGGACTTTGCCCTTCTTCAATCCGTATCCTGGAGGACCCACCTTTCACACATCTCACTCTGGTTCCGAACCCCCGACAAGTTGAAAAAAGCCACCAAGTAGAAGGCACCAAGCAAGCCGCTGACGATCGGGTCGGGGGGGTCCGCTTCCTCAGATCTCTTCGGTGATGGGAATCGCTTGGAGTCGAACAGTCGGTGTCGCTCGCCTCGCCCCTTCCGTTTCCGAGGGTCCTCTTGAGGAAACACGGTACTGACCGTGGCGATTTTTTGGGAAGTGGTCAGCCTGAGGCTTCGTCCCTGTGGGTGCGGGAAGTGTTTAGGTCTGGTCAGCTCCGTTTTCTAGCTGGCTCTGCCTGGTTAAGAGTTCCCCCCAAGAGTTCGTCTGGAAGTCAAAGTCAGAAATGGCTGGTGGTTTCCCTTTCACCTACCCCTTGGGTGACTATGGTGGTGCCTTTTAATGGGGCCAGATTGGTTCAACCGACTTGAGGCGGAGGAGTTGAAGGCGGTGACCCAGCTCAAGACGCCTTACAACCTGAACGTTTCTGAGAACATGCTCAACCGCCCGAACCTCGGAGCTGGGGCCAAAGGCCAAAGGTTTTTAAGCCATTGTTCAACTCAACTGGGTCTGTCGATCTCGAAAGAATTGGACTGGCAAGGGTTTCTTTTTGGCTTTCCTTTTTCAACCAAAAGGTATTATCGCCACACCGGTTCGGGTGGACCAGATAGGGGGGCTCTCATCGCCTTTTCCAGGGTGGGGTTGGGTGTTTTTACTGGGGGTAGGATTAAAGGGAAACCAAGCGGGAAATCACTCATTTTCGGGGTCCGGTTGGGTTTCTCTTCAAACATGTGGACTTGTCAGCCGACATCCGCTCCAGCTGATATTTGTGGGACGGAATCAACTGGTCCCATCCGTCCAGCCTAACTTTGTCAGTTTGATTTGCACCTACCACTTGTGGCACTCAGGGTTTGGCTTAAAAAAGCTCCCGGCATTTGAAAAGTAGCGCCGCGACTGGGTTTAATCTGACGGGTGGGAGAAGAACTGGACACCTTCAAAGTGTGTCCATTCAACGTTGTTGTCCTCAAAGGTTCTTGAGGTTTTCCGCCATCGATCCGGATCGACTGCTTGGATGTTCGTTTCGCCAAGTGAGTAAGTGGCTAGCCACCAGGGGTTTTTCACCCCCTTGCAACAAGGTTAACCCCACATTCACGGGGAACTTATTCAGTGGGTTACAACCGAATGGTTACCGTTACAACTCACGAACTTGGCGAATCGAACATCCAAGTGGACTGTGGATGGCAGCGATGATGTTCGATCGATCCAGGCATCAACCAGCTGCAGCAGGTTGAGATCATCGAGATTTCCAAGTGCAACCTGGAGCGGATACCTCCCTCCCTGGAGGAGCCCTAAGCCTCAGAGTCGTCACTAAAACCACCCAGAAACCTGACCAGTTCCTTCCTTCCCACGTGGTTTTGGAGCGTTTCGGTCTGGCTGATCTTTTGCTTGTGGATTCCTCCGGTTCCCTCCTCTTGGTGTAGCCTAGCAGTCCCTGGATGCCAAACAAGGATAGATTCAGCCATGGCTCCGCCCTGTGCACTCCGAGCCTCCCCGTTTTCTTCCCGCCCCACTATTTTTTGGTAGGCAGGGCTCCTTAAAAGATACGACTTGGCCATGTGAAACATAGCTTTTTCTGCCCCAAAGGGATGGGTTTTGTTGTCAAAGCGTGCCTTGGTAGGTCTTTTCTTTGGAGGTTTGTCCATTTCTTTACATTCCGGTTTTACATGATTAGGACATAGTTTTTTGTTTGTGAGGCCGTTGGAGAAGAACTCCTTCCTTGTCTGTGTGAACTGAAGAACCCGACAGGAAACCAAGAAACTTTCGGGGTCCTTGGCCTATGTTGGGCAACCACCCACTTGTGCGTCAGGTTGTTGAACAATGGTCCTCCTGGTTTGGGCAACACCCAACCCAAAAGGGGAACAAACGATTTTGGGCAGTTCCTGCAGGCTGAAAGGGGCCAAATACTAATACACATGTTGCATATATTTGTTTGTGGTGCCTGGATCTAGGGTACCCATCTCTACTGATTTCCAAAATTCACCTCGCCGGAATTCCTTTTTCAGCACATCTTGATGGCGGCGTCTTCCAGCAGAGGGACTACCATTAGAGACTTGCCACCCTTCTAAAACCCCAAAACCCTTCTAGCAAGAATCCAAGCACTACCTCGTCTCAGTCTTGCTTTGCCGGCTGCTGGCGTTCCAGGGGTCCGGGAGTTAGCCAAGTGGTAAGCAATCCCCGGCGGGCTATGGGGTTTGGTTGGGAGTCCCTGAAACCTGCTCCACATGTGTCCTTCGATGTCTGCCAAAGTGTCCTTCGACGTTGCCCGCTCAAACCCCAGCTACCAACAACCAACCCTGCCCAACCCCTGAAACTATTTCTTTTTCCCATCGGCATTTGGCGATTCCCGGCGGGCGCTGGTTTGCTCTCGACCCACTGAGAATTCGCCCAATTAAAGGTCCAGATACCCACCCGAGCAAAAAGCAGCGGGACAGCGAAGGTTGGGTGGCAATCTCTCCGCCAGACATCTCCGCGGCAAGGAACCCCTTGGACATTCTTCTCATGGGGCTTGATTAATATTTACTGTCTACGGTAAAGTGGACATGGGGCACCTGGGAATATCCATGTGAGCTGGAGACGCAACAAGTGACCGCCTCTTTGACTCTGAGGTTGGATGGCCTCATGATGCTCATCCTCTCCTACAACAACATTCGTGTCTCGCATGGAGGGCTTCAAATTTTGCTGGGGCGCTTTTTTTTCAATCTGACCCCGACCCCGACCCTTCACGTTGGATGCACAGCCATGTTGCTTTCTGTTGGGCATTTGGGCATACACGAGTCGCACATCATAAGCAAGGTTTAGTCACGATCAATTGTGGAGCTCTTTGTCCCGCATGGAAAGCCGCACGTTTGTTTTGTCTCAAAATAGCGGACGCCCCTCCGAAAATCACTGGTTTCCCTCGGGTTTCACTTCAATCCAACTCCAAAAAGGGTACCAACTCGAAAAAAGAAGACACTCACATGTAGGCACAGCCGCCGAGACAGTCGGTAAGAGCACGATTTTCCAACAAGGGGAGCCTCTTTTTCTTCTTTCCCCGGTTTTGTTACAAAAAGAATGCTCGGGCTTGTTTTTGGGGTTTAGAAGGCAACAAACTCTGGAACTCTGGTTTCCCATGGTGTCAAAAGTGGTGCCAACGGATTTCGTCCATCCGCAAAACGAGTACCCTCAAAAAGAACACGAGCCCAACTCGGCGTTTCTGAACGATGGCTTTGAGCCCCAGGTAAGTTCTCCATGGAGTTGGCGCGCTGCGAGACGCTCGAGAGGATCGTGCTGGCAGGGCTCTCAGATGGGCGCAATCGATTCGACTCCCATGGCGGGTCCCAGCCAGAGAGCTTTGGTAGACTTTTGGAAAGCTTGGAGAAGTTTGGAGCTGGATTCATGACAGATCCCACTAAAAGTTTTCAACTTTTGTCAAGGGAGCAACGAACCACACAGTTTTTTCATCATTTTGTTTCTTCAAATAACTATCTACCTCCTTTGGGTTCTGCTTAAAGGGACCGGGGTTGTGGCTTGAGCAGCTTTTGCAACCACGCCTGCTTCCATTGGTCTCAAGCAAATCATTCGGAGCTCACACAATTCGTCGTAAATAGCACGGAACCTAAGTTTATGTGTTTGCGGAACCTCTAAAGATGTATGTTCAGACTCCACGGAAGGCTTGAAGAAAGGGGATCCGCTTTCTATCCATCGTTTTTTATTTTTTGATTTCTGACCCCCAGTTCCTTTGTCTGCTTCTGGTGGAGTGTAGTTTTTCCTGGGTTGGTTTGGTGGGAAGAGGTTAAGTCCTGAAAACAAATTGATACCCCAAGTCACCCACACCTTTCACACACCCGATAAAATCTGGTTTGTGGTGTAAAGACCCTGCTCTACCCTTTGAGGTCTCCTTTGGATGGGTGAAATGGGGCTACGCGGACTTGTGTAACGAACGTCTGGCATTGGTTTGAATTTTGGGAGTGTATTGGTCCGACCCCCGCTTCTAGGAACGCCAGCTGGGTGAAACAATTGGCAATCAGGTTGTTG